GTTCACAAGAGCTACCTCGAAGACGAATTTTGCATCATCGGTTCGCAAAATGGCGGACACCACTTTTGGATCGCTTTGCAAACTCAAATGACTACCTGGCCGCCTCGTCAATTTTTCATCCAGGTAACCTCATTTATTTGTATATGTTCTCTACGAGAACACGTAGATACTACCCACACTAATTATGGAATTACGATTTTCATGTTGCCGTTAAACCCGACCCATGATCTCAAACGGACGAACCCGTCAAGGACAACACAGATTGCCCGTGTGCCATTTTCTTTGGGATGCCGCTGATTGCAACAAACATGAGCCCACACAAATCACGCAGCAAAAATCAATACTAAAATTCTGACGAATTATTTTCCGTACATTCCTTCCATATGTATTGAAATGATGATACCTTTCTGTGATGTTTACACTTATTTATTGTAAATTCATTTTGTTCTTTGTTAAAGCCATCCACGAGTTGGCGACTTAATATTCTTATCATTGAAATCAAATTTGAATTATTTATCAAATAGCATCAAATGCTCTAGTTACGTTTCAAATCATAGTCCATGTCAACTCAATGCACTCTGCAATCGACATGGATCTGCCTTTACAGACGTAAAACTTCTCGTCAATTTATCTACCGGTATAAATTGAGCGACGACTTTTGCTGTCCTAGAGTCTCAAATTAACGCGTAATTAAACGCTTCACATAGCCTTTGTCCCTTGGAAACGTTTACCAAAGGTTATCTTGGACCGTTTGCATAGACTAATATCAGGCATTTCCATCTTGGTTGCATGACTGTTTTCGTTTTCATGTTCCTACTATTGTGATTACCGCATAATTTACGAAAAGAGCATGGTTTTTAACGAGGCGAGAACTGATAGTTATCGAAACCTATTGCTACAAATTGTTTATTATTTTAAATATGTAACAGTCTTGCACTCTTTTCCTGCCAAACCTCAATCAAAACCCACATTATATTCAGCCAGAGCTTGGCGGTGTTTAATAAAATAAAAAAAAAAATAATTTATCGACATTGTTTTCGCAAAACACGCCAGAAGTGGAAAGAGTTAGAGTTGCTTTGCCATATATCCCACAAATTATGAACAAGATAAAAAATAAGTTGCGTGAATGTAATTTAACCATTGTGTATACGAATCAAACCAAAATAATGAATTTGTTGGGTTCAACCAAAGACACAATTGATTCTTTACACAAATCTGGCATTTATGCTATTCAGTGCCCCGTTTGTATGTGTGAATACATTGGACAAACGAAACGTAACATTTCAGTTCGTTTCCGTGAACATTGTTTGTGCATAAAAAACAAACAGGGCTACCGCTCTGCCTTAGCATTACATGCATTGAACAGCGGTCATTTGAATATCGACATAAGCAACTTACGGCTGGTGAAAGAGATAGGCGACGCGCGCAAATTAGACGCATACGGAAGTTACTTTATTCAGAGGAGCAACAACGCATTGAATCTGGATAACGGGAACATCGAGTCAAATTTGCTGTCTCGTTTGCTATGATGCTACACCGACCGATGTTTTTACGTGACAACCGACGACTTTTCTGTTTAGTCGTGATGCTGATGATGGTATGATAATACCGAAATGCATTCAAGGTACTCTTCTCAAATTCTTTTGTTTTAAATGAATTGAAAATATTGAATTAGTGAAAACAATAAGGTGTGATTCAATTGTTTGTTGATTTATCGGTTTTCACGTCGCTCAAGAACATATTTATTATTTACAAACCACATGATTTTTATTATTCTGTGTCACTTTGGTCTACTTTTACATCACATTTAATCGAGTTACATTATAATTTTACACACAAATTTACGGTTCACTTTGTTCTCACATTTTTCTTTGATTTTATTCCATGCGTTTTTGAACATTTTATATTGTTCGATTACTTTTTGATTTGATTGGTGTATTTTTGTGGCTTTTGCAAAATAGTCCGGATTGAGAATTAAACAAACGGATACGAAGATATATGAATCAACAAATTCACTATTTTTTAAATTTATTCAATGAAAATGTTTTTGTTCGTATTTTGTTCAGAAATGAGTCTAATATTCCATGTGTTATGGGTTCTTTAGCAAAATGGTCAAAAAGTAAGGGTTTTGGCTGATCGGAATTACGGCCGCCATTAAACCGATATGGCAGCAGTAGCAGTGACGCCAGAAGAGTTCTCTTATGAATAGTTATTTCTTCAATTTTTCTATTATTATTAGATCTTTCCTCGCTCATTATTATATATTGGCAACCGGTTCCTTATTTTGGTTGCTCAACCTCCCACAAATTTATTTCTTTTTCACCAGCTTCCAAAATTTCATGGTATGAATTGCAATCGGTCTCACTGGCATTTTCTCGATGAAATTGTGGAAGAGAATCAGCTATTGACTGCAATACATTTGATTTGGTGTCCAATTCAGCGGATACTGCTGACATTTGCAACACATTTGCTAGCTAACTATCCGATTCCCAATGAAACGACACTCATTTTCGGAATGTATTCCAGATAAAACCAAAGTCACCATCAATGAATCAATACAAATGATCATCACACAAGAATTATACGAGCAGCAGAAAGTGTTTGGTGCATTAAATACAGTAATGCAAAACTTCAATTATACAAGTCAATTTTGCCGATAATCGACTATACTGACATAATCTGCCATAACTACGGTACACATGGAACAATTCGAAACTCGAAAAATTACAAAACATTGCAATAAGATATATTTTATTTGTTTATCTATCGACGAGATCATATCATCCCGTACTGTGAAAATTTGAAAATAATAAAATTATATGATCGCCGCACACTCCACATGGCTAGTTCAATATAAATTCCGGATAAAATACGTGATATTGATGATAACGAAGACTTTATTCATTTGCATAAGCAATATTTATTACACCCATAATTTTACTAATAGAGGACCTATTTTCACACTGATTTCTTCAGAAAATACCAAATGTAAGACATGCAATTAACCGAAAGGGAGAAAACAGGATAATAAATACAAAATTTCGGAATATCCGATTGAACGAGAATTCAAATATTTAAAAGAAAATTTTCAAAATTGGATATATTGACTGAGGTGAGAAAATATAGATAAAAATTTCACTCAAACAGTTTTTATTGTGACATCTAGTAACCTTTAGTTTAATCCGAAAATCTATTTATAATTAGTGATTTTTTCACTAAAGGTTCATTTTTGAAAAGGTATCAAACTTTTCAAAGTCAAGAATCACCCACATGTGTTCATGCCATCCCACATGTGTTCATGTCAATCGATGCCATCTTCACTGCGAAATTCCATCCTGATTGGTAATGTGCTTCGATTTGTCACCGAATGCTTCATCTTCTTTAGTTACGATGAATGTCTTTTAACAACTTTCTGGAGTTATTATGACTTTTACTTTTTTTGTTGTTACGGTCGGTATTATGTGCATACTTTTGGTGATTTGTATTTAATGAATGATACTCACAAGCACAACCCGATTATAATAGATAAACAGTTTGGTGTTAATGACATTTTGATTCTTTCCACTATGATTCTATTTAAACACATCGTTTCTGTGTTCAGTAAAACTACAAATTCAATTCGTGGTTTTTTATCTCCAAGAGAAAGAAAATTTGACTTCGATAGCACAACAATATGTATTTAATAATCAAGTCATCTCTAGATGAAATCCTGGATGAAATGTTGGGAATAGATCTTTTCTGCTTTCACGATATTGTATGTTTGTATATGTGAGCGGACGAAAGCAATGTGGTGAAGTGAGATCAATTTCACGTGTAAGATATATTTATATTGGTGTATTTAGTTATTGTAGATAAATTTATCGCAGAATTATCTCTGGTTCAAAAATAAGAAATCAATATGAATGAATAAAATCCATCAATTGGTACAAAAAGTTATATTTTTCTGATACAGTACGCCCCCGCAAATTAGAAACCCGAGAATTAGAAAGCCTCAGAAATTAGAAATGAATTTCAGGTTTGAAAATTTGTATGGAAAATTTCTAATTTCCGGGGTTCATTTCTAATTTACGGGGTTTCCGAATCATTTCATTCAAGACAAAGGGAAATTTACTTCATTTTTAATGAAAAAACGTAATGAAAGTCTTTTCCATTTCGTTGAATAACTATATTAGCAGATCAGCTTGAGATTTTCGACGTTTACAATGAAGTTAAAAATTAAGTCAAGAAGTAATCTGTTCCATATTGTCTGCGTCAATCATCAATCATCAATCATTAACAAATCGAAACCGATTTGTTCCATCAGAGAATTTACATATACAAAATTGTATATAGAATGCTAACGTTTTAATATAATAAGAACAGCCGGTCATCATTTATTTCGGTTTGTTCCGAGGAGTAGTTTATCCAGTAAAATAAACTAACAGACTTACTATATATTTATAATCACTAAAATACATACAATACTGATTGAACAGTGTTCAATATATTGTTTTCAATTAAGCAAATCATTCCCCCTATCAGTTTTTTATTTGATACACCGTTTTTGGATGAAATTGAACAAACCTCAGAAATTAGAAAACTCCGCAAATTGGAAATGGTCTCGGGACATTTCATTTCTAATTTGCGGGGGCGTACTGTATACATTATAAAAATTAATGCAAAAAACTTTAAATATCCTCACAAACATCGTCTTTTTTCTCTCAAAATAACAGAGCACGAATCCGTGCATCTATTGATGCATCAATAACCAATGTAACATTGGTTTGCTCAAATATACCAAATGAACACCATGCTGAAGGTAAGAACGAAGTTCAAGTAAAAAATAAGATAATGGGGTCAAAGGAAAAACAAAGAAAATTCCGAAATATCCGATCGAACGAGAATTTAAATATTTAAAAGAATAATGTTCAAATTGGGTATGCTGACTGGGGTGTGAAATAAGAGATACAGATTTCACTCAAACAGGTTTTATTGTGACATCTAGTGGCCTCCAACTTAATTCTGAATTCTATTCATAATGAGTTATTTTGTCACTCAATGTTCATTTTTTTAAATTATTTCAAACTTTTCAAAGCCAAGAACTAACCACATGTATTGATTTGCTTATGAGATGTTTATTGAAGAAGATGCTATAATTTACAATCTAATCAGAATGGAAGATTAGAAAACTGTTGGATCAGGATATAGTCGTGCGGCGGCTCGACTTTGAACCAAACCCATTGGAACCGGTCCATAGGTGCGTGAATCAATGCTATTGTCGCTATTGTCCCCCTCAAGCCATAGGTGACCCTTCGGTACAATTATTACTTTACTGCGAAATGTTCTCATCGATGCATCCTGATTGCTAATATGTTTCGATTTGTCACCGTCAAATGCTTCATCTTCTTCAATATCGACGAATGGCATGATGTCTTTCAATGCATCTTCTTTCAAGTCTTTGTTCACTTCGGTTTTTGACGTGGATCCAAATGGATTGAAGTTGATTCGGGGTTTCATGTAGATTTTATCGCCGGGCAAACCGACCACACGTTTGCAAACCAACATTTTTGGTTCGATTGGACTCTTGGCTATGACTATGTCACCTCGTTCATAATTTTGTAATCGCTTACTTATTCTCTCGGCAAGTAGAATATTATTTGAATGCAATGTCGGTTCCATCGATGGACCAGTTGTCTGCAAATAAAACATTTGAAATTCAATTGGCAATTTCAATTTTTTCCATTCAATTGAATAGAATGTCATTGCATTGCAAATCAATATACCGTGACAAAATCAGCAATATATTCGAATACACAGTGCCCAATACAGCCAGCTTGGACTAGTGCCGTCAAAAGTACCCGTTTTTCCGTCAGTGGTTTAAACATTTTATTGTTTCTATTAACTCCAACGGATGAAATTTCGAATTTCATTCACATTTTCAAATTGAAAATGCTTCTTGTTATGACTGTTTCTCGGTTGAAGTCAAGAGAGAAAAAAATGGGTACAACAAATCAGTTACACTGACGTTTGGCAAGTTGTCAAAAACATGTGAGAGATTATTTCACAGCGATGAAAGAGCATTGAACGCACTCCACTGTTAAGATTGTATTATCAGCACACTCAACTGAAATTTGACATCTGACTTGTCATCGTTGGTTATATTATTACAGAAATTTTACAAGAAACTCAATTTTTTGTCAGTCATCATCATGTTTGTCACATCTGTTGTTTAACTTGGATTAGAAAAGTTTAGTTATTATTTATAGATTAAATACGATACGTTCAATCGATTTCTAGTTAATTTTCGTTGAAATTAGGTGAATATAAATAAATTTACGTGAATTTAACGTTTCCAATAAGAAAAAAAAAGAGTTGACAAAGTGAAAGTATACAAACAAAAACATGGATCCATCAAATCCATTTTGCAATTTATTTGGTAGCGAAACGGTGACGAATGCACCGAGCGCACAGCCAGACCAATCAACAATTAATGTGATGGATCAGAAAATTAACGGCCTTATCGAGCACATATTCTCGATTACTATAAATCGAACGCCACAAAAGAATAAGCAATTAGTGTTTATGGAAGACTTGGCAGATGTTTACCCCACGACGACTTTGATGAACATGGAACTACTCGAACAAGCACTTTTCGAACGATTGCTGCTCACTAATCCACGTGATTATCTCATTCCAAATAATACACAGAACGATGAAACCAACGACATTGCCGAAGATAAAGTGATTTTGTATTTATATCGCGCGTATGAACGTCTTTTGAAATGGAGCCGAAACCAAAACGAATCGTCACTGAGCGCAGAATGTGAAACCATCAAATTGTTGATTTTGAGAAATGCAAGCACAGCACAGAAACAGCCAGAGCTGTATGAAAATCAACAACTCTCTGAGCAATGGCTCACTTTGTTCCGCAACTATCTCGATGAATTTGAATGCAAATGTGAATTCTTGTCAAAGGTGGTCGCTGATGTGGCCAGCGACAATGATCCCACGTACATTGAATCGCTTCGTGGAACGTAAGTTTGCCTTGATTGTTTTTACTTTTTATTGAATTTCGCTGACATTGAAAAAACTAAATTTTAATTTTTCACATTTCAGATTCAATGATGTGTTTGCCAATTGTTTGCGTTCGGCCAAAAGTGCGTCGTTAATTACGCTTGAAAAATGGGTGCTGTACACAGTAAAAGCATTTGTGAGCGATAAAACAAATGCAACACTTGCGCAACTTCTATTGGATTATGCAACACCAAAGGCTCGTTTGCCTGGCGGAACAGTTGATGGCATTCAATTCTCCGAAACGCTACTGGGAGCATTGCTGTCTCTCTCTATTCTGCCGAAAACCCACAACGGACCCTATGAATACTTTGACAATATGGCCGATGCTCAGTCAAGCTCATTGACGAATTCACTTTGGAACTACTTAACCTTACACTTGGATGAAATACACACCATCTTCAAAGGTTTCCTGTTGGTTGGTGGTGAAACGCGAAACCGTATGCTTGAATGGATCGGGCTGTGCTTGCATTCAAATGTGGGACGTGGCCAAATTTGGAACCAACACAATCCAGCTGCTATGTTGGGTGCATCCAAAGTGGTTCCGGATTCGTTTATGATTGGATTATGTGGTGTTTTACTACGATTATGCAAGCCATTGTTACGGCCGAAATTCAAGGTCCTTGATGTTGATCCCACATACTTTGCTGTGGGCGATGCCGACCGTCAATCAAAAAGTGTACACATGTACGACGTCGAGAAGGAAACGTGTTTGATTACAAACCTAGATGAGAATCAACCGCGCAAAACGGCCGATTCGTACAATTTCGTAACCGAAGTATTTTATATGACACACAAAGCGATTGATTTGGGCTATCGCGTTTGCATCGACAAGTTCATTCAGATGAATCGTGAAATGGCACGACTGCAGGACCTCTACCGAGATGCAGCAACACAGGGCGGCTCGGAAGTGGCACAAAATGTAATGGACGCGCTGAAAACACACATGCCAAAGTATTTGTGTTTGCAGAAATTGATTAATGAGCCCAATAACGATCAATACTTGTTGCAATTTTACGAGGCAACATCACTGTGGCTGACGCTTTGTGCATCAAGAATTCCTGACCCCGAAAATCCAAACAAAGAAATCAAAGTGAACGAAGTGAATTTGCCAATTGAAACGCCAGCACCCCACAGCTTGGCATCCATCCCCGAATTCATTGTCGAAAATATTGTCGTGTATTTGACGTTTATTCATCACTTTGAGCAGCAAGCCATCGATACTGATCTGGATACACAAAGAAGCATCTTCACGGTTCTTCTGCTGTTCATGGGTGACGTGAGCCGAGCTCGAAATCCACATTTGCGGGCCCGTTTGGCTGAAGGTTTAGCCAGTTTTTTGCCGAAAAAATGCACTTCATTCAGCTGTAGCTCGAAGTCACATTTGTTCACACAACATCCGCATCGACTTGAAATCGTACCCAATCTGCTCAGCGTGTTTGTTGGCATTGAAATGACAGGTGAATGAAAATCAATGTTTAATTTTGCAGTAAAAATAAATCCAACGTGCTTAATTTTACCAGATAAAAATTAATATTTTTCATTTTTATCGTTCAGGTCAAAGCGTGCAATTCGAAATGAAATTCAACTATCGACGCCCGATGTACGCAATCATGGAATATTTGTGGGAAATCGAAGAGCAGCGACAACGTTTCCGTGATTTGGCTTTGCATGCTCTTGAGCATATGGAAGATGTGAATCCTCCGTTGTTCTTACGATTTATCAATCTGTTGATAAACGACGCCATCTTCTTGCTCGATGAGTCGCTGTCGAATTTGCAACAGATTCGTCAATTGCAACAAGCGCAAGACCATGGAGAATGGGACAATTTACCAGCTAACGAACGTGAACAAAATCTGGCTAATCTACAGCATGTGGGCAACTTTGCGCGTATTGATAACATTCTGGGTCGTGACACAATCAACATTCTAAAACTGCTCTCCTCAGAAGTACCCGAAATATTCTGCCATCCAACGATGGTCGATCGTGTGGCTGCTATGCTCAATTATTTCCTGTTGAAGTTGGTTGGACCAAACCAAGGCACTTTCAATGTTGGTTCCGAATATTTATCTTTATTTCAACGCATTTACATCAATCTTATCTTAATTATCGCGTTTATTCTCTTCATTGCTCTAGGTGAAAGACAAAAAAGAATACGAATTCGATCCAGCTAGAACTGTGTTGGAAATCTGTCGAATTTACATCAACTTGGAAAAATTAGATGGTTTTTGTTTGGCGGTTTCACAAGATGGCCGTTCTTACTCGGCAAAGCTCTTTGATTATGCCCAAAAAGTTCTTGGTAAATACAAGTTTCAAATAGAAAAAAGAAACCAAAACTGAAATTCCACAATAATTGGTCCTTTTTTTTCTTTCTTTTCATCTAGTTCGTATCGGTGGTGGTCAGTTGGTAGGGGAAATATCTGATTTTGCAACAAAGGTCAGTCAAATGGAGCTAGAAGAGAAGGAAAATCAAAAGGCACTAGAAGATGCACCAGAAGAGTTCTTGGATCCAATCATGAGTATGTTCAATCTACGTTTTTGTTGAAAGATTTTCTTTTTGAAAAGCTTCAATATGCTGTGTTCGATTACTAAAACTTCTTTTCGCTTTCTTTTGTGTTAGGTACGCTCATGACGGATCCGGTAATTCTACCAAGTTCCCATGTGACCGTCGATAGAACAACGATTGCCCGTCATCTGTTATCCGACCAAACGGATCCATTCAACCGTGAACCGCTAACTATGGATCAAGTGAAAACTGACGCTGAATTGAAAGAAAAGATAGACGCATGGATTCGCGAACGGAAATCAAATAAGACCAATTAATTGCTGTACATTCAGCCATACAAAACGCAATATTTCAATGAATTCGTAAAACATTTCAACACCTCAGCGAGTGTGTTAAATTTAAGTCAATAAAATTAAGAACATTGAATAAGCCAATAAAAAGTTGGACGAAAATGAAAACGGCGGATGGTTTGTTCATTTATTATATTGAAAACTACAATGGATAATAGTTAATTTTATATAAGTTCAATAGGAATGAATGGAATTAAATTGAATTTACACCAAGGGTTTACGGATGAAACCACCAATATCTTGACGACACTTTATAGGTTTATCAGAAAAAAAGTTGAACTTCGAATGTTAAACTCAGATTTTTCGATCGTAATTTTAGAAGGATAAATTTATTTAATGTAAAATTTCATTGTTAAAATATTTTTAATGAAAATTATTATGCCTTGCAGAAATAATTGTAAGTGAAAATTCTAGGGAAATTGTCTCAAGTAAATTCCTTCCAAAGAATCACAAATCAAGTATGTGCGAAGCCGATAGAGTTGAGGAAATTGACTATACTTTGCTATACACAGTCAAGTTTGCACGTGAAAGTGCTCAACGGAGGTGGAAGAGAAACAAATTGCGACTGCATATTTTTCGCACTCTTGATATTGCGTATTATAGTACGTTGGTATTAGAGAAGAGAAGATTGGAACACTTTACAAAATGTACTTCACGCAATCAATAAAAGTGGAATGGATTTGGCGCGTGTGTTTACTCGGTAGAACATTATTTAAAAAAAACACAAAACATTTGAAATGCCAAAATATTTTGTTTTTTTATTGTTTATTCAACCACATAAAAACCAGCTAAAAATTACACTCTCCACCTCTCATTATAATCACCCTAGTAATTCGCTTATATAGAATATTTTATTTGAATTTAATTCACGACATTCATTTTATCGACATCGTCTACGTTGACCACATGTAGAAGTAAGTTTGCTGCCATTGTGGAATGTATTCAAGCAATGGCTGACAAATGGTGCTGCTGAAGGGAATGGTGCAGGCAATGGCGTTGATCAAAGCAGTCAATTTGCGTTGAGTGAACTTCTCGTAGAATGGGGAACGCATGAGATATAAGAGTAGTTGAATTGTACGGCGCGAGAGTTCAAGACGTTGCTTTGGCGACAAAGACCGCATGTTCTTCTTATACATATTCAAACTGGCTAGATCAATGAATAAAGCTACACTATAACTCTTCCAGCTGTTGATGCCGAATATGCCGGCGCTTGTCAGATGGAACATCGGCTTCAAAATGTACAACACTTCGGCTGTAGTGAGGCTCTTATACTTGACAACTGGAACGCTGGTCGGTTCATCGACGGTGTCTGGGTCCAATGGTTTCCACGAACGCAAATAGACTGGCGGTGATCCTTCAACCTTACGCACCACACGACCGGATCTTTTCAATTTGAATGTGAACGTTGAATTGGCCGAGTCAAACATATCCGGCGCGGATTCAGCAGCCGATGCTTCGGCCAGTGTTTTGTCAATGTTCTTGCGATCAAGTGCAACAATTGGTGGGTTCTGAGTGATTATTTCCCGATGGTAGAATTTCAACACTAGTCGCCCGATGCATTTAACAATTTGCACAATTGTAATGAATATCCAACGGCCACGTTGACCCCATAGCTTTTTCGCTGACAGTTCAATGAACACTTCGCTGTATTCCAGTGTGGTCAGCAAAATTTTCAGCCTGTACTTGGACCGATCATTTGAAACGTACGCACTCTTTGACTTTTCAATGATTCTGTCGTTGAACAATACTAGCAAATTCGACAATGTGTAGATCAATTCGGAAACAATGGTCGAACTATTCACACGACCTGCGGTACATGAAAGAGAATTCATTGTTATCATTTTTCTTATATTTTTACTGTATGCATTTTGTGTCGTTACTCACCGACTAAAAAATACGATAGCCATTTGACTGTTGTTTCCACATCACCCACGACCTGTGGATTCGAGCTGACCCATAATTTATACGATTCGTATAAGTCTGGAAGTTTGGCCACAATTTTCGACATTTTTTCTATTTGAAAATGCGCACAAATTAACAAAAAAATTTAATTGAAAGAATCACGTCCAAAATTCAGCCCTTCGATTTGATGTTAAAAATAGCACACGTTATAGCCACAAAAAAATTTATACATTTCTTTTTTTGTATTTCGTTTGGAAATATGACTAAATGTCGTCCAGAGATTAAAAATGGAATGAATCGTCGGAAATATGAATAACATTTATAGAAATTCTGCGTTTCTTCGGTTTGACAGATAAAGGCGCAACGTGATTGAACCCTGCTCACGACAGCGTGAGCGTCACGCAGAAGAACATCACATAGCCGCTCAGTCAACTTGTTGTGTGCAAGTATTTTGAACACAATAAACATACCGAAGCTGTCACTCGAACGTTTCAGACGGATGAAACCAATGGCGGTGGAAATAGTTGTATTTTGTTACTGATTGTTGAGCGTTTTTTGTTTGTTTGTGTAAATATCTTGTGAACAGTGATTGAATAATGAAACCGTCTGGACGGGGGAAATTGTTTGCAGCACTCAATCGAGCCAGGGCTGAATTGGAACAAGAAAGGGCTGAAACGTCGTCGGTTGTATCAGCTGCTTCAAGTTCGGTAAGTGTTTTGAATCACACATAAATTCCTAAAATGAATGACATCTTTCGTATTCGCTTCCAAATCAAGGCAGGCAATGGAATTCAAAGCTTTCCACGGGGAGCTGGTCGAGCAAGACTTTTCAGACCAGAACTGTTGAACGCGCCAAATCTGAATGAAGCTGCAGGTCCCTTAACTAGATCCAGCACACCCTCCGATTCTGGCATTGCATCAGTGAGCAGCGATCATTCAACTGATTCGAATGCATCAGAAATGAAGGTGCAAAAACGCGGAACAAAAGGCAAGTTTTTGATTGCATTGGAAAATGAAACTTTTTTTTTCTTGTAAAATTCAATGATGTATTCTGAAGTAATTGTTTTATAAATATTATTTTTTTTAAACACAAAGCCGCAGGAGTTCACCAAATATTCCAAATTGAAAGAAGAAATATGAATAGTACAACTTTTGTTTATGTTTCCACTAATTGTTTCTCATTTCGTTTATTTTCTTTAGGCAATCCGATTTCGCTAGCAGTAAATTATATTCTGATCAAATGCCAACCAGATGTATCGATCTTTGAATATGATGTGCGCTTCGAGCCAAATATCCATTCAAACATGATTCGCCGCAGCTTACTGGCCAGTGCGATAAAACCAGTGATGTCTGTTTTTACATTTGACGGCACTTCTCTTTATTTGCCTCGTCAATTCCCCGAAAATGTGACAATTTTCAAAACAAATAATCGAAATGACGGCATGCCGATCGAAGTGATTATTTCATTTCGTCGTCAAAAACCGATGAAAGAATGTATTCATTTCTATAATGTGCTTTTCAAGCAAGTTATGCTACGACTGGAGTATGTTCAATTTGGGCAGAAAATGTTCGATCCAACCGAACCGAAAACGATTCCTCATCGTCAATTGACGATTTGGCCGGGCTATGCTCTCGCCTGCGACGAATACGATGAAGGTTTGATGCTGACGCTGGATACATCACATCGAGTTCTGTTCGATACCAAAGTGTCCGATTTGATGCGAAGGATTCGAATGAGCTGTGATCAACATTCCGGCCAAAATTTCAAGGATTTAGTTTATAAGAGCCTTTTGGGTGCCATTGTACTGACTCCGTACAACAACAAGACGTACACCATCCATGAGATTGACTTTGAGCAAACGCCAATGAATAAATTCAAAGTGGCGAACAATCGCGAAGTGACTTACGTTGAATATTATAAAACAAACTATGGTGTTGATATTCAGGATATTAATCAACCACTGCTGATCTCGTACAAAGACCGCAAAATGATAGCAAAAAATGGACGCGTGCAACAAGATCAAATTACAATTTGTTTAATCCCAGAACTGGCACAGCTCACTGGCTTAACGGACGAGATGAGAAAAGATAATATGGTGAGATTTGGCATTTGGATTTCGGAAATTTTACTAAACATTTATCGATGGTTTTTATCGATTATATTCCATTTGTTCTTAGGTCATGAGAGACATAGCATCTTGCACCAGATTAACGCCAAATCAGCGAGTCGATGCGGCACGAAAGTATATTGCCAAGGTGAATGAAACGCCATCGGCCAGGGAGGTTTTGGATAAATGGGGCTTGCGGTTGAGTGATGATATACTTCGGTTGCAAGGTCGTCAATTACCGTTGGAGGAGATAAAATTTGGTGCAGATAAAAGTATAACGGGCGTAACTGGTGACTTTCAAGTGGGCAACAACATTTTGTTTGAGGTTGTCGATTTGAATAATTGGATTTTAATGTATACAAAGCCCGACAATCGATACAAGGAAGAATTCCTAAATCAGGTTGGTCGATGTGCAAACGGAATGGGTTTGCATTGGCAACGACCTATTCAACATATGCTTCCAGATGATCGAAATGATACCTATGCGAAAGAGTTGCGTAAGCTATTGCAGCCAGACACACAAATGGTTGTGTTCATTTGTCCGACGTCACGGGACGATCGCTATGCCGTGATCAAAAAAATCTGTTGCAGTGAGCGTCCCGTTGCCTCGCAGGTCATCAATTCAAGGACATTGGCCAATCAACAGAAGAATCGGTCAATTGTGCAGAAGATTCTCATGCAGATGAATTGCAAATTGGGCGGTTCTCTTTGGTCCATCCGCATTCCATTTAGGAATGTCATGATTTGCGGCACCGACACTTATCATAATCCAAACAAGAGGGAAAATTCAGTAGCTGCATTTGTGGCATCGCTGAACGGGACCTACACAAAATGGTACAGCAAAGCAACAATTCAATCAAATCGCGAAGAACTTCTGCACGGCCTCACCGTTTCCATGGAAAACGCACTGAATGCATACAAAAAACGCAACGGAGTCTGTCCAGATCGGATCGTTTTGTATCGGTAAGAGAAGAACTGATTTAGATTTTGTGGCAATTTTTTACTTGAAATTATATGAACCTTCTTCACAATGTTTCAGTGATGGTGTGGGAGACGGGCAGTTTGCACTGTGTAGAGAGTTTGAAGTATCACAAATAAAAGCAGCGTGCCGTCTATGTGATGCGAGCTACAATCCGGAAATTACATTCATTGTCGTTCAGAAACGTGTGAATACCCGGATTTTTGCGGTAATTTCCGTAATACTTTCAATTCAAATAAAACGTCAATCAATGCATAGCATGCTTTCGTCATTGAGTCGAAATACGAATCAATAGCGAATGATACGAATGTTTCATTTATATTTTTCATTCAAATTTAGGTCGACGAAGGCAGGAATAATTTCGACAATGCACCACCCGGAACAGTTTTGGATCATTCGGTTACACGTCGTGGCTTATTCGATTTTTATTTGGTATCCCAGAAAATGAGGCATGGAACTGTAACGCCCAGTCATTATGTGGTCATTAAAAATGAATGCAATTTGACTGCAGATATTTTGCAACAGCTCAGTTATAGGCTAACGTATCAATATTTCAACTGGCCTGGTTCGATACGAGTGCCAGCCCCGTGCCAATACGCTCATAAATTGGCCTATTTGGTTGGCGAGTCCATTAAACGAGAAACGTCGGAAATATTAGAAGATAGGTTGTTTTACTTATAAACTGCATCCCGATTTCGTATAATCCATAGAATGTATAGTTTATTCAAATACAATCGGTTGACTCATTTTGAAGTTTTTTCATGCATTGAACAAATCCCTTACATTCATTCATACTCTGAAGAGTTCAATATTTTTTAAGTGAAAATCTGTCTTTAATTCTTCGTAAAATCTTATATAAATCGTGCAAAAAGAAAATAAATGAACAAAAACCAACGAAAACAATTACTGAAATATATTTTGTGAAATCAAAATTGTTTTGAATTGCTCCCGAACTTCGAAACGAGCCATAATGCAATGGGGAAATGTGTAATTTTGACATTTAAATTCGTGACTAACACTCACGATCACGGCTGTGAGCATACATCAACGGAATAGTTCATTGGTTCAGGTCATCGTGGCGTCTCTTTCCGACGCATGGTCTTTGTAAGCATGTCGCTAATGTGTAGTCGATTTTGTGCAGAATACAAAGAAAAAGCGCACTAATACACATGCAATCGACTCTATGGCTGCTGCTACAAACGCATTATATGCTTGACCGCCATACACATTTACTCGTGTGTGAATCCGATTTTCTCGACTGTAGGGCATGATTTTCGATTTTCAATCAATCGTATAGTCATTGAATGTAAAAGAAAACTTTGTTTTGAACTCTTTGGAAGACCGCACTTTAACCGGGAATAGTGTTTAGTGTGTAAAGAATTGAAAGCAATACGCGATAACGTATCTATATAACGACAGTAGACCACAACGACGAGTGTGGAAATATCAAGTATTTCTCTTTTGGTTGAAGTGTGAACAACAAGAAAATCGAGCAAAGTGAGCGTGTGTGTTTTTACCGAAAATGCCTTCGAAAGATCCATTGCCGCCAAAAGAAAGTGCACTTTTCAGAAAAATACTGGTAATTTGATCAATTTATTTTGCATTTGCCTTGGTGATAATCGAGAAAGACTGGCGTGTTTTGTCTGATTGAGTGAACGAGCGATACAGAGAGTGAGAGTGAATGTTCAATAGACACATTTCGTCAAGAGCGCACACCTCATGACATAGAACCTCTTTGCATAAAAAGCCGAACGAATAACGTTTAAAAGTCATCGATTTGTATGACATTAAATGAAAAACACACCGAATATTGTGTTCAAGCGAAGCGCCCACACATAGGATCATACTTTTCACAGTAAGACACCGCACCAAATACAGACGGCTTTCCGTCAGATGCAAATGTGTCGGTGCATTCGGCGCATGAATGACAAATTGCACGTCGAAATTACCTAATTACCTGTGCCGTCAGTTGGAGGTCATTAGATGTGTAGCTCAAACGGATTCCGGCACCGCTAAGTACCGCCACAGTGAAAGAAAAAAAAACTTGTTATCTTATGCCTGCATGCATTTCGACATACATAACCTCAAATTCATAATTTTTTTTCTTCTTTTTCGTTCACATTCGTTCACCTAAATTTCCGCGATCTTATTCTTATTGCAGAATTATTTACGTAATACACCAAATGACAAATTCAACTCCATTCAGCGATTTGTGTTATCTATCACTGCCACATTTTGGTGGTTAATATGTTTTTTTTCTCGTATGACTTATCTGTTTCTTTTCTTTTCCTTTCTCTGTGCGTGTGAAGAAATGTTACGAAATGAAACAATACAAAAATGGCTTGAAGCTAGCCAAACAAATTTTGACGAACCCGAAATTCACAGAACATGGCGAAACATTGGCCATGAAGGGGTTGACATTGAATTGCTTGGGCCGCAAAGACGAAGCATATGATCATGTTCGACGTGGACTGCGCAACGATTTGGGATCGCACGTTTGCTGGCACGTATACGGTTTACTACAACGATCCGATAAGAAATACGACGAGGCCATCAAATGCTACCGAAATGCACTCAAATGCGAAAAGGATAACATTCAAATTCTACGCGATTTATCATTGCTGCAAATTCAAATGCGCGACTTGGAAGGATACAGGGTGAGTAAGGTGTTGGCACTAGTGGTGAATTTCATTTCCCTCGACGTCAAAATTCTAATTGATTTGGTGTAATTTGCAGGAGACACGACATCAACTGTTCAAATTGAGGCCATCGCAGCATGCATCCTGGATTGGATTTGCCATGAGCTATCATTTGCTCGGCGATTTTGCTACTGCCAATAGTGTGCTCGATACATTTAGGCAAAGTCAAGTGAACGTAAGTCATTCATGAAAATGCCATCCATTTGAGTTTTAAATTATAAGCCACAGAAAAATCGCAAGCTAACCGACTGAAATAATTGCAGGAAACGTACGATTACAAGCACAGCGAATTGTTGCTGTATCAAAATCAGATTCTGCAAGAGTCTGGTGATTTCGAAAAGGCATTGAAGCACATTGAGGAGTTTGAGCCGCAAATCGTAGACAAGCTGGCTGTCAAAGAGATTACGGGTGATTTGTGCCTTAAGTTAGGTAATTTCGAGAAAGCCGCCACGATTTACGAGGGATTGATCAAACGTAATCCCGAAAATACATTGTACTATGCCAAATTCATGGAAGCAAAACGTGTGGAACAACCGGATGCAATCACCGAATTGTATCGCAAATTCCAAGCGGACTATCCACGTGCAATTTGCCCAAAACGTTTGCCATTGAACGTTACCAGCGGCGCTCTATTCCGTGAGCTAATCGACGATTTCTTGCGCCGTGGTTTACGCAAAGGTATCCCACCGCTGTTTGTCAGCCTGCGTTCAATGTACAACGACGAGGACAAAGTGAAAATCATCACCGAATTGTCGCTCGACTACTATGTGAATCTAAAGGAATCGAATCACTTCTCGAAAAGCGATCGTGAATCGAATCAACCGACCGAACCGGCCTCTGCACTATTATGGACGCTTTACTTTATGGCTCAACATTATGATTATTTACGTGACACGGATAAGGCATTAGAGTACATCAACGAGGCCATCGATCATACGCCAACGCTTATCGAGTTGTTTGTGTGCAAAGGCCGAATTTATAAGCATGCCGGCGATTTAATCGAAGCATTCAAATGGCTTGATGAAGCGCAAAGCCTGGACACGGCCGACCGATACATCAACTCAAAGTGTGCCAAATACATGCTGCGCGCCAATTTGGTGAAAGAGGCTGAGGATATTTGTGCGAAATTCACGCGTGAAGATGTGCCGGCCATGGAAAATCTCAATGAGATGCAGTGCATGTGGTTCCAAACGGAATGCGCTCAAGCTTTTCAACGGCTCGAAAAATGGGGCGACTCATTGAAAAAGTGCCATGAAATCGATCGTCACTTCTCCGAAATTATCGAGGATCAATTCGATTTTCACACGTATTGCATGCGAAAAATGACACTACGTGCATACGTCGGCTTACTGAGACTGGAAGATGTACTACGCCAGCATCCGTTCTATTTCAAAGCCGCCAAGTGTGCGATTGAGGTAAGGCAAACGTAATGGAAGTAAGCTGTGAAGAAAATGAATCGTTCAATAACACCTTAACTTTTTTATTTGTGCAGGTCTATATTCGATTGTACGACAAACCCTTGCCATCAGAAAAACAAATTGAGGAACTAGATACAGGTAAAATGTTGTGATTTGAATTCTTAGTTTTGAAAAGAACATTATTCTCATCTAAATTTCTCTCATATGTTCAGAAAATCTTCCACCATCTGAGCTGAAAAAGTTGCGAAACAAGCAACGCAAAGCAAAAAAGAAGGCCGAATTGGAAAATGCTCAGGCGGCCCAGGCTCAAGTGAAGAAAGAACAGCATAATAAATCGCGTCAGCAAAATCAAGACGGTGATCCGGAAGCTCCACAACTTGACGAATTAATACCCGATAAATTATCACGTCCGGATGATCCACTTGAGCGGGCGATTGAATTTTTGAAACCATTACAATTATTAGCCAAAGACTGTATCGAAACTCATTTGCTGGCATTTGAGATTTATTATCGAAAAAACAAACTTCTACTCATGTTGCAATCGATTAAACGTGCTCAAGCCATTGAACCAACGAATGCCCAATTGCATTTGTGCATCGTAAAATTTTCGAAAGTGTTGAAATCGGTCCCCGAAAACGCTGAACTCAACGAACATGTGAAAATTGTACTTGAACGAGAAACCACTAAAATATTCAATGGCAAATCAGCCGACAAACTAAATCAATCGATATTAGACAAGTTCGGTAAATCAAATGAACACGTTCTCAATGTGGCCAAAGCGATGATCGAACTGGATTCGAGTAGTAAAGAAAAAGCAATCAATTTGATCAACTCATTTCCCGTCGATAATGTAACATTGGAGGTAACATTGTGCAATTCAATATCCCTTGTCTACTCATAGCTATCTCATATAAATTGCTAATTGTGTGTATATGTTTTTTCTCTGTATTTTACAGCAAGCTGTGACGGCATACAACGCATTAGCTTCGGAAGCGTTTGGCACTAGCGCAGAACAATTGAAAGCCTACAAGTCATTGTGTAACAAGCGCTTTCCACACGCAACTATTTTCCGTGAAATTCAACCGGTGACGGTTTCGGTGGCCGAAACTGCAGCGCCAGCCTCTTGAGGAACCAGCTACACCTAATCCATAGGAATCAAGACAAAGATTGAATTTAAATTTAACACACACACACACAAACACACACTCGCAACGCAATAATTAAATAAAAATCATTTCACACGATGGAATCAAATCAAAGATTCTATTTTATAACATCCATTTATTGCCACATACCAACAGCCCGCATTTATTGCAATTTAAACAACAACCACACACTCGATACGATTAAAACCACATAGAGTAAATATAACGGATAAAATCTAATGAAAAACGAATCAATTTACATACAATTACGGAAACGTATTATAAAAAAACAAATTTACGTGAAGCATTACACAAAAAATACAATTAAAACTGAAATTGTAAAAGGAAATCAATCTCTTTTTAAACGAAGCAAAATAATATCGGAGTAAAATGAATTCAACCATTTACACATTTTAATAAATTTAACGAGAGAATAATAAAATGGAAGCAAAATTTTATTGTATTGCATAATAGATATGGAGAAAATAAAGAAAATAGCGAATACTGAGTGGAACAAGGTGTTTTTAATTGCGTACAAATTCACGTTTTTTTTTCATTCATCACGTTTTGGCACGTTTTTTTTCATACGAATTATTTGAATATCATCAAACTACTTTTTTCTGCATATTTGTCACTCAAGCAGATTCGCACAGGCGTAATTACTTATACGATTTCCGTATGACTTTCAATCGACAAATTGAGTGATGATTAAGCAAATTCAAGATCATTTCGTCACATTTCATACAGTGGAAAAAATATGTGTGAAACGAAAAACGTCGTAATAAACCCAAAAATCGTTCTATAAATTACGAAAGCCATTATTATTATTCAATAAAAAAGTTGGAAAACAAATTGAAATATATAATTCAATAAATTAGCTTTTCTTCTTTCATTTGATCAACAAGTCTTCAGAAAAGAGTAGGAACATTGATTCACAAAGAATTATTTTCTATAGATCCGCTAGCGGGTAGTATTTCACCATCGCGTAATTCGCATTCTTTTTCGAAACTTTGCGTTGGTATAATGTCATGATATAGTTCGTACATTTTTTCTAAGGGGCACTTTGTACCGCAGGCTGGGATTTCTAGTGCTGGAAAATCGGTTGCCGTAGAGTTTTTGTAGAACAGTTGTAGATAGTGAGCATGGTCGTCGGCTTGGTACAATTCAAAGAACACACATGATGAGTACGGAGGTTGATGGAGCTAAGACAAAGGAAGTTTTACTAGAAAATAGAATAATTGAAATTTCAGATGGAATTTGTACCTTGAAGAGACCTAAGCTGTTCAACATGTTTGATATCGTAATATCGTGTGCAAAGTATAAATACAATGAACGGTTCAGTGACAGTGTCGACTGTGTCTTATTCGTAAAACGATCTAGAATCTCCTTAAGCAAGAACCCAGATTTTATTTTTTTCATTTCGTTGTTTGGCGTGAACATTTGGAAGTAGTAATGCATGAGATATTCAAAGTTGCCACCTTCATTCATGACTTCGTCAGCCCACGATGGCAGTCTGAATGGTAAGGTCAAACAATTATGGATGAATCGTATCCATTCAAAGTCTCATTGTGTACAGTGACATACATACCGTTTGCCCTTTAGTTGTTCGATGAAGAGCGTGTCATAAAGAACGTTGATGTCGGTGAGTGTTGGCAGTTTTTTACCTGAATTCTCTTCCAAGTACCTGATCAGTGATTTGTACTTCTTAAAGATTCCCTTAATTTCGGCGGAGTTCATGTGTTCAAACATCATGTAGTCAAAGTGATCGCATCGTTTTTCCGATGCCAGAACGTAGTCATTTGCAAGTGGTTGTGTATGAATTTCTGGAATCGAAATATGCTCTTCGATATTTTCATTCCACTCTTGATTTTCGGCCTGACAGTAGAGTCCGGCTAGATTAGCCTTTGCACTTTTCAATACTCGATCCACATTCTAGGCAGAAAAAATATGAATTGATTTTCATTTCACAAACCAACTTGGTTATTTGTTTAAAGAACGTGTGAAGGCTTTAGATCATTTGTGCTTTTTGCAATAACATGGAGCCGCCATGATTATTTACCAATCAATAGTACTGAAGTACAGTGTATTTGAGTACGTAACTTCTCCACTACTGCTTGAAAGCACAATGGTATAAAAATCTGCAAGAATTTACGCCTCGTTCTTTATTAACACAATACACTAACCGTTGATCGAACGTAGATGCTATTTTGTGAATAGTTGCCATCTCCGAGCAGGCTCGAGTATCGCTGCCGAAAATATTGACCCAATTTAAATTGTTGTTGTCGGCCAATCTGTGAATTAAATAAGAGTGATAATGATGCATTATCGGAACGAATGTAGTAAAATATCATAAAATAAAACGAAAATAACTGAAACATGTGACTTATACGTTTGTCAAACATGCATAACCACCATACGGCCAATGCTCGAGAGATTTCCATGGATCGTTCGGAAAAGATGAGTGAATGTTCCTATCACCATGACGACACAACTGTCGAGAAGAAAAAACAAATATTTTGAATGAGAATAGCACGAATTTGAAAGAGAGAGAACGAGGGAGAGAGAGGGAGAGAGAGAGAGAAATATATCAAAAGCTAGTAATTATTTACCGTATGTGAAAAAATCAGCTTATCATCTTCAATGTTCTGCTTTGAATCCACACTGTTTCGGCCAATATCTTTTGAATGGCCCAATTGAACGATTGAAATCAGAAGGAAGCAAGCAATTTTCAATGAAGCTGCCATTTTCACGGTGTGACTGTGACAAAATCACAGGAGTTCAGCGCGAGCCTTTATAGGCGCACGCTAAATTTGAGAACTGTGCGATAGCGATAGTCTCCTCATCGCACGCTGCGTCTCCCCATGTGACGCTGCTTATTTAATCGCTAAATTGTTCATTTTTTTTGTCTGGAATGATAATAGGGTACAGATAACGTTCAAATTGTGAAATCTCGCAAATTGGAAATCATTGCGTGAATAAAGTGTCGTTCAATAATCGCGATAACCTACTCGCTTGATCATTATTTTCTCCATGTTTTATTTTCATAGTAAATTTCCATAAATATGAATGCATTAAAAAAATAGCTCTAATTGCTAATGTTATTTTGGAAAATAACCAATTTTGGTTTCTCTCCTAGATTAAACGTAACCAACTTCCAATTTTAAACAACAAACTGGAAGAAACCGGTTCGATAAAATAATTTTGATTTGTTTTGGCAAATATATGCAGATCATCAAAAGGTTTCGCATAGTTCAACAGTTATTTTTTACTTAGGATTGGCCACACCGAGTGATAATTGGGAGTAATAGATAATTTCACTTGTGCCTGCTTGATAATTGTTTCATAAATAAAAATCATTTCGAAATTGTCGCGCCGTCTGAATTACTCATACGGTTCGTTGATTATTATTATTAATGTCGTAACGGTTGTCTCTTTCGCACTTATTTGCAAGCGTACATTTGAACTTGACGTTGAGTGCAAAGATTGACCACAAACGCCGTCTTATCTTCGGAATGAGTGAGCCATTCATACTAGAAATGATACATGCACACAAAAAGATGTTCACACTGTGCACTATATATCACCGGGTGACACTGTGTTGAGCATCAGCTGAGGCGTTTTTCGATCAAACGCCGGTATTGTGTCTTCTTTTTTTACACGCAACGAATCTTATGAAAAAAATTCAAAAACATTTTGTAGTGGTGTAATTTAGATCAGGTGAATTTATCATATCAAAAAGTTCTTCAAACGAAAAACTCGATGGGCTTCTTATCTACGATGAGATTTCAATAAGCGTGCTTCATTAGTTCAAGTCGGCAATAAAATCAAATCTGGTATAAATGATACTGTTACTGTTGAAAGCAGGGCCTAAAATTTCAAAATTTAAGAACATCCCGATATTTAAAAAAAATTAAAAAACTTAGGTTTTCTGCTGTAAAATAAATGAAAATAGACTTAATTCTCCTTCTTATCATCTACGCAGTTGAATAAATATTGTTATGAATTGAGCAGTAAATATTTGAGTGAAAACGAAAAGCTAAATTTAAAAAAACGAATAGAATATATCAAACTTTAATAATTATGAGTGCTTTAAAATTTCTTAATTGTTTTGATTTCATCATCTTCATCGGAATCTTCTTTTTGTTCTCGAGCACTTTTGGATATGCCTTTAAAATATGGCGCATTCTTTGTTTTTCTGTCCATAACGCCGGAAAAATCTTTGCGTTGCTTTTCGTTCATAAATTGAATGATTGCCATCCTTGGATCCCAGTCTTCGAGATCAGGCTTATTAAAATGAACGTAAAGATATTTTACTTCCGTTTCAAGTGAGATACTGCTTCGTAGTGGTGTCTTTATTCTGTTATTTGCGCTTATAGACCTTTCCACGTCCGCTGAATGCGGCGTACACGCTTGAATTCGTGTTAATATGGTCAGCACTTCTTTGTAATTTTTCGAATTTGTAGAATCTTTTGCAAGAGTTTTGATGATTTTATGCAATTTCCCATTCAATTTCGGTGCAATCTTTTGTTGAACCAACTCGTTATATTGCAATTGAATTGATGTCGAATCGAGATCAGTTGCAAAATAGCATGTTGCAATTTACTTTTGAAATGTACCTCACATTAGTTCAAATGAAAGCCGTCATGTAATCATACGAACAGCGCTCGAATCGTTTTGTAGAATTTTCATACAAAATGATAGTGAGGCACTTTTGCAACATGCTATTTTTGTGAATCTCGCGCAAATCGGCACGTTGATCAAACGTTACAAATGGTTCTATCAGTTTTATTTGCTTATCATCACTATCGAACCGTTCGGAAAGACAATTCAAAATAGAACCAATTATATCACTTCGAATGCTTTGAAAATCAATGCCAGACGTTTCTTGTCTTGTACGGCCGTCTTCAGATCGCTGAAGTTCAAAATGCTTCAGAATAAATCTTCCATCATCCGTTTCTTCGATGTCATTTTTTAGCGCCTCTTCCCATCCACCAAGAAGAAAATCTGACTGTAAAGTTAACAGTGCATTACGAAGAGAATTGATGTTTTGCACTAGACTTATGATCGTTAAATCATCGCCTTGTAATTTTTTCTGGTAACGAGAATAAATGTTCAATAAGTCAGCCAAAAATGCGATGACACGAAGATTATCAATTTTCTGAAGAAAAATAAAAAAACCGTTTGCTTTGCTGTCGTTGTTCTTATTTTCATCGAAATATGTCATTAATGCCACCCATGATCGCAAAATATTATTTATAATTGCGGCGCTATACTCCGTCCAACGAATTGTAAACAATTTTGGCAATTTCGAGAGATGTAGTTTGTATTCAGCTGCAATCGATTCGAGCTCAGCTGTACGCAAGCCGGATTGACGAAAATATGACGAAATGGAACTGAGTTCATTCAAAGTGTTTTGCACGATGGTATGTGTTTTGCTCACGTCACCCCAAACCAATTCCATACGATGTGCACTGCACCAAATTTTTAACAGCGGTATAACTGACTTGATGCGACGTATTTCGTCTTCAATGTATTTCCATAAACCACCCTTTTCGCCAGAATTTACATTAGTTCCGTCGGTACAAATCGAAGAGATGCTCAACATAACAGTTTCATACAGTTGCTCACCAATATTGTCAATAATACCTCTTTTTACGGCATCAAACAGACCAAGTGCACCTCGTAATTTCTGTTCGCCTATACCAAGAAAAACTAATTCGGGCTCACCCTCAGCATTGACAATTTTAAGCAAAATGTAAATCTTGTCGATTTGTTGGCGGTCAATCGATCCATCAACACGGAGAGAACAAGCAAGAGCTGTTTTCAGTTTCCTTTCAAGACATTCCTTGTCCGATCTTACGATAGTGCTTAACAATTCCAAATGAGCAACTGGGTTCACGTACTGTAAATTTAAAAAAGGCACAGTTGGCGAATTTTTGTTTTCATATTCAAAAAGTCTCCCAGACTCGGCACCAACAACACGCGACGGCCAACCCCATGCTGAATTACCCAGTTTTTTTGCATCGACGAATACGTCATACAAAAGTTTCGTTACATGCGACGCCAACTTTTTATTTGCTTTGCTCAAGTGTATTTCAATACACACGTTGCACCGAACATAACGCAACTTTGCATCATTTTTATCACGCACTTCAAACGATTCCATGCATTCTTTGCATTCTTTGTGGAAATCCACTTTATTAATTAATGTTGATGTTGCTGTTGAAATTTGATCGACTTGGTTTTCATTTGTTTCGGCAATTTGTTCATTTGGTTCGGACTCTTCGATCACTGATGAAGTTGAAGACGAATTTTGTTGTAAAATATCGGGTTCGAACGTGGGAATTGCACTCGCATTTTCGTTTCATATTTCGATTGAGAACCGCACTTGATTGATTTCAATACACGAATGAAAGCAGCCAAAAACAATATGCAATTAATGCTCAAATCTTGAGGCTTGAACACATTGCGCTGTTCATCATGCGATTATTATTTTATGTAAACATTTCTGTGTTTGTTCACAGTTCAAAATAAAAGTTATCACAATAATCATTTTTGTTGATTATACAGCGGGTATGTCTCGCCTATGTGGTTGGCAGTGAACGCAGTTGACTTTTTTTTGCTGACATGCAACTTTTGCCAAAACCAAAATCAAATGACCGAATAAGTCTCGGTTACTCATGAAATGAATCATAATGAGAAAAGTAGCTAATAAATTAAACAGACTAAACGGTATAAATAAAGTAAACAAATTGATCGACTTTGTGTTGTGCACAACACAAGATATCGCCAAAATACAGTTCTGAAATGAGAAATATCATTTGAATATTTGGCTGTTACTTTTTTATATGATAAGAAATCATATTTTAGCGTTGAATCACCACACTCTATTCTGAGAGTGACGATTCACAGCAAAATATGATTTTCAAACGTAACAAAAGTAACATCCCGATTTTCAAATAAGAGCAACACTTTTCAAATAAGAGGATCCCGAATCGGGTAGAAGATCCCGAAATTTTAGGCCCTGGTTGAAAGACTAAGAGAAAGTGAATAAAGGCTACAGAGTTGCGAATAATATGAGGTCGGTTTTAAATAATATAATTCGGATATTATTAGCATCAAGTGTCCATTGCCTAAAGTATACGGAGCCATTATGTACAAAGATTCCTAAAACTAATGCCAAGTGTAAATTAGATAATGTTCGTGTGGAGGATCAACTCGTATTCGCCCACGTTATATTCCGCCATGGTGAACGGAATATAGGTTTGTTGCTGGGAATTTTTGTAATAATTAAATTCAATAGATGTATTTGATTTGGAAAAATCTTCTTTTAGAGAAATCGTATCCAAATGATCCATACAAAGAAGAAAAATATTGGTTGGGTGGATTTGGCGCACTGACTAATGTAGGCATAGGCCAAAAAATTGAAAATATTTCATTTCAGTTAAATTTATTTTTATCAAAATATTTTATTTACTCAAAAAATTGCTACTTTATTTTTATTCACATGAAAAAATCCACATTGCCTCTAATTGGTGAAATGAAATCACATTTTTAAGGTGGGCAAGCGAGAAGTGTATGAACTTGGAAAATACTTACGCAGAAGATATAGTGAGCTCATCGGAGATTCTTATTCGCCCAAAAACATTTATATTCGTAGCACTGATTTTGATAGGTAAGTCTAATTTGCAATTTACCGAGCTATTAAGCACATTTTCACTGCTCAATTGGATGAGATTATTCTGATAGAACATTGATGAGCGCATCAGTGCTTGCCGCAGCCGTATACCCGCCGTCTGGAGATGAAATCTGGAACGATGAAATCGCTTGGCAGCCAGTGCCGATACACACGGGGCCATTGCATGAAGAACAACTGTTGCCGTGGAAGATTCCTTGCCCCAGGTTCATGTTCTTGTTCGAACAGTACCAATCATCGCCAGAATATAAATCGATCTTTGCTAGATACGAACCATCAATTAAGCACTGGGAAAGGCATTCGGGCCAATCACTTGATAAACTTGCTGATATTATGTACTTGTATGACACACTTTTTGTGGAAAATCGAAAAGGTTTCGTTTTAGATGACTGGGCCAATGAAGCCTTATGGGACAGTACATTGAAATATCTCGCTGCATTTCATTTGCAATCGTTTACACATTCAACAGAGCTCAAAAAACTCGAGGCCGGATACGTTATTAAAGATATGTTGGATCGTTTTAGAAATAAATCTCAATCTCTGCTTAAGCCCAATCAATCAATATGGCATGGTTCACTTCATGTTTATGCATGTCATGATCTTAGCATTGTGAATATTCTGAATGCCTTGAACTTATATGATGTAATGACATGGTTTTTCTCCCATATGTATCGTCAAACCTATTATAATTTTCATTGCACTTTGATTTTCAGCTACATATTCCAAACTATGCTTCGAGTCTTCATTTTGAATTATACCGAACGAATGGAACAGAATACTATGTGCAGCTATTTTATAGAAACCAAAATCAAGAAATTGTTGATTCACCATTAGAGATTCCCAATTGTGGTACAAAATGCCATTTGGACCAATTCAACGAATTATACAGAGACATTTTACCAACTGAATCAGAAGACTACGACTCAGTGTGCCGTGTATCTACATGAAATTAGCAATCAAGATTTATGTGTATTTTGAGTAAAAACTCCGACGAAACACATTTTAGCTAGCATTATTTGCGATTAGAAACAGCTTACTACCGTAGATCATCCATAGCAACTGAAATGCATTTTTTTTGTAGAAAAATTTAGTTCCTAACCAATTCACTTACAAATGTATGGAAGGTTATCAATCCTTATCGATTGCAAAACCCAAGCGCGACTCCACACTTAGCTTCTAAATGTGACACCGTAGTAAGTGTGGGCATACGTTTTGCGAATAAGCGACAAAGAGAATGGAAACAAGTGCGCGTGTATTAGTCGCTACATTTAGTAGCATCACATCAGGCTACTCACTACCACACACGAACTTGTTTCCATTCTCTTTGTCGCTTATTCGCAAAACGTATGCCCACACTTACTACGGTGTCACATTTAGAAGCTAAGTGTGGAGTCGCGCTTGGGAATGTAGTTATAATTATAGAAAATGCATTATAATTGAAGGATTGAGGTTGAGGTGTTCTTAAAATGGGTCAATTTTAAGTATGAGACCTATGCTATGAGAACTTTTCTCTCAGAAAATCATATTTTCCGTCTTCTTTCCTCAATGTTAAAATGAACAGAACGCTCTTTCATCTTTGCCAAATTCATTTTTATCGGTAGGCATTCTAATATTGAACTGTGTTATTTGATCCAGAACTTTTTCTTCTAAACTCGCTCTACAGTGTCTGATCTGTTTTTAGGTCCATTGCCAAATTTTCAATAAACATTTTTGCTTCGTAGCACGCGAAAGTATTTCTTGAAAATAGGATGTATTCTGAAAATGACAACTCAGTAGAACCACCCTTTGAACTCAACCCAACGAAAACATTGACTGTCGGAATTGCATTTTGTCTCGAATATTATAATACTTTACCTTTGGTAGTCTTACCATGGTATTCACAGACGACGCAATCACAACCATTTTACATAATTCGCTGTCAACAACTTTATTCAAGGAATTATCCAAAGAAAATACTATTTTAACGATCTATGAATCATTCGAATTAACCTACAAATGTTGTGTCCGAAACAGATTTGTTTCTTTAAAAATGCCATTTTCCATTAAATCGATTTTTCCCAAATATGCATTTTATCGATAACTTTGGTGATTGTCACTTAAGTCTTCGTTAACGATAATTTTTCGTTGATTGTCATTTTTACTCAATCATTTTTGATTTAGCTTAGTTGTTTCGTTTTGATTGTAATTACCAATACAGGTATGCTTCCCTAAGTATTCATGAAGAACACACTGGGTCTTGTAATAAACCAATAAAAAAATATTCGATTTCGAAATGTTTGAATCAACAAAGTGCGCTGTAAATGGAAAATATTCAGCAATGAATGCTCCAACGGCATCTATACGGTATAGTTTGGAAGTATAAGTAAATGCTTTCGTCATAAGGTTTACTCAAATGTTGGAAATGACATTTGTCAGATAAACGTCATTCATAATTCAAGTCAGTGATCTTCCGATAGGGACAAACGCAATGCAAACTGAACTCTGAATGGTTTTGGATTTGCTGAATTTATTACCATTGCGCTTCACTGTGTTGGTTTGAATAAACCTTGAATATTTTGAATCGATTTCTTGAGCAGTTTAAAATCAAATTAGTATTAGAACTGAAATATGCCGCCATTATACAATCATCAGCAAGCGATCCTTACGCCACGTGTAATTTGATGGGTGATATTTTCCTTCCATTCTTGACAAATATCATCAGGTAACTATATTTTGATTGGGCTGCATATCTTTGTGCTGAATAATTTAATTGTGTGCAATCAGAGTTTTCCAATGTAACGTATTCCAAATGATTGGAAAATGGATGGATGCATCCTTGAAAATCGTCAAACGGTTGAGTACAATGGAACGTGGCATTATTACCTTAACTACTATTGACGTGGTTCTAAGAAACGGATAGAACCTCGTTAAAATCGAATCGTCAAGACCTAATGGCTTATTTTCGCATGAATTTTACGGACGATGCATCACTTCATTCGGCAATCAAGAATTGTTGTAAAGGAAGTATTTAAGGTAGCACATGCCTCCCAAATTGGTTTTTGATTGTCAAATTCATAATTGTGAGACCCGATTTCATCCGATGTAATTTCATTTAAATGACAATATAATTGTCCTTTCCTGTGGTATCCTGCATATGAACGTCGGTAGAACAGGTTTGTCCAAATTTGAACTTTCAAAGTAAACAGTCACATTTTGTTTGAATTCAGCCAATTTACAAACTAAAGTTCAATAATTTCGATTTTTTGCGATCGGTTCAAAATGAAAATGAAACCACTTGAAACCAATCGACAAGTGCTTACTTGGCTGTGCGTATGTTCTGCGGACGAAAAAACAAGCAAGTGGGAAAAAGTCGCACATCTCAGCTTTACTTTGATCGTTCCAATCATGTTGTCGTATATAATTGCCGAACATTCTTTGTACGGTTCGTTTCGATTGAGTTGGAGAAATCGTTGTATTGTCTCGGACACATTGTTGCTTATTCGTGGGTGTTGTATTTGTTGATTGTTCGACTTTTCTTGCGACATAAAATAAATGCTATCTTTGTTCAACTAACCGAGATTTATGATCAATGTGAGTTGAGTAGCTACGTAAAATACTTTTAAATTGCATTTGCATTTGAATAATAAAATGTATGGATTTAGATCAAAATACAGATTCGATTCGATTCGATTCGTGGCTCGAGCTAATAACAAATGTGAATGGATGTGGAAGAAATATTTCAAGTTTGCCATCGGTGGATGCTTTATAAGTATCGCAATAACAACCGCGGTGCCACTTCTTTACTGTTGGATTTCGAATGAACATTTTGATACAAATTACGCTTTTCGTGCACATAAAATTATGTAAGTCAATTTGAATATGGAATGAATATCAAAAAAATAT